AGTCTCTTTTGAAGCCTTGTCATGCGTCAAGAGAGACCTTGACACAAAGCCTTGTCTCTAAGAAGCCTTGTTACATTGGACGGACGGCATCATGGTGCAGACTTGGAGTAACTGTGCCGAAGTCCAAGGCGATGCGATCTATATATATATATATGTATATGTTCCCTTCATGGTTCCTTAGGCAAATCCAAGCATGGAATAGTTTGACATACATGGACATACATGGACTCCCATTTTACTAGTGACCCATCCATTGTTAATATAACTATTATTCATAAACTAATGAACTAATGGATGGTTTGGGTATTGTGATGCGTAGCGCCTGAATCGTCACCCACCTGGATGCGTAGCTCCATGGCGCGCCGCTTACGATCTGTGCATGTCGTGTGTATGATCTGCGCGGGCGCGTGGCATTGGCTGTGGTCAACGAAGCTGTTTACTGCAGGCCGGAGAGGAAACAAGATGACACATGCTGCATACCCATGTGAATTGCATGCAGAGAAGAGGACTCAATGAAGAAGAAGCGTTCAGAACACAGAAATTCTGCCCTGAAAGCAATCGGCCTGTGAATTTTGGAATGTCTTCTTCTGCTCTGACCGACACGATGGTTTCTCACCGTTGTTTAAAACTTGAAAACCATTTGTTTTGTCTTCGGTCCGTCTTGCCACAGTCTTGTTGGTTTTCCAAACCACCGCTGGTCTTGCGGAACTGGGTCGAGGACAATACGGATCACAATCGTACAACATGCGCTTACCAGCATGTGGTTTCGCACGTGGCTGGTTTCGGATGGGTTTTAAAAAGCCACGATCTCAGCATGTGGTTTTCATCCAATGGAGGCGTTTGGGGGTCTCAAGTCCCGGCCCGTGAAGGGAGCGTTGGAGCCAGCTGGGATGCTGGGATAAGCGTCCAGCAGGTCCTTGGTGAGTCCGCTATCCGCCACTTTGTGTTCCATTGGTGTACTTCACCTTGGTTTCCTATTTACACCTTCTTTCTACGGTCAGCCAAGCAATATATAGCCATCAAATGGACAAGGAATTGTGTTGGAAAGGGAGCCAAGGAACAAGGGAGCCGAGCACGTGTGGCAGACCAGGCTCTTCTCTCCCTTCATGCCCTACCCGAATGGTGGTGCCCTGGCTCTATGCAGCGACAGATGAAGAACCTTTACCCTAAGAATCCTTGGACCCGGCCTCTTCGCAGGGGCCGGGTATAGACTGACCGGAGGTCTTGCATTCTTTTCTTAAATGTCGAAACCTATGATACATCCCTGATCATTGCAGCAGACACCAAGAGAATGTATCAACCAGGCTGTCCACCCACGCCATTCCACACTGGCCATTAATCAGAGATTATAGATTGTACGTATAACAGCACCCTCCAACAGGTCACCAAGTGAGACCTCCTTTGGAGGGCTGTTAGAGTAGTATATTGTGTTGATATCTTTTATATCACAAAAAACGAATCACGGGGTGTTTTTGCGGGATCCAACATGATCTGATCCAAGCATCTCTCGTTCCCAATCTCACCCTAGTAGTCCTCTCTCTAGTCATGCCACCTCAGGCGCCCTGCTGGACTGCTGCGTCTCGCTCCTGCGTCTCCGCCCTGCCGTGGGACACTGTCGCAGGGGCAGAAGTTCTCAGCCCCGAGGTGCAAAGATCCAAGTGCACCAGAAAACGCACCCCCAAAAAGGCACCCCAACAGCCCCTCCTCTTGGGACCCTTGGGACCGCTAAGCTCCAGTGTTGGGCCCGAGCTCCAACGACTCGGAGCGCCAACATCATCAGAATAATAAGAAGACCCTTTCCACTGCTTAGCATGGGCTGTGGCTTGGACAGATTCGCAAGTCGCACTATAAGACCCTTTGAATCGGGGAATCGATGTTGCTTTTGAGAAACACCAATGATCTCGTCAAAGCATGGTTTAAAAAGGTGGACTGTCCGACTTGAGAGTCTTAGAGATCATATGATGAGATCATCAAGGAAACCGCAACCACACCCAGCACCCTGCAGGTGCTGAGTGCTGCAGCTGCGTGCATTGGTGCCTCGACATTCTTCGTTTGACTCTCACTTTTTGTTCAAGTAGCAAATGTAAAAGGATCCTACATGGATGAGCTGGCACGCACTGGGGTGAAAGACAGCTGGAGTGTTTTGCGCTATGCTGCGTTGCCGTAACCGCGATGACAGCAGGATGACAGCAGTGTTTGTCGACCCCCCTCCTCATGGGCATACCGTACCTGACTTTCCAAGGTGGACCGTTTGAATTCGTCCGTTGCACGAAGCGAACAAAGGGGTATTGGTCAGAATAGGCAATGAGTGTTCGTCCATGATTTGCTATTCTCAGGGGTCGAACTGGGGTCTCTCTTCTACTTCCCACCAAACATGTTTATTTTGCGAAGAGGTGACGAGGAGCTGGAACTGGTGGTGCCAGAGGAGGAGGATATGCAGAAGCTTACCGACTTGGTCGATGAGAGCTTCCAACGCGCCATCGCTGCGAGGCAGAAAGGGGCAGGGAGTGTGTGTGTGTGTGTGTTGCGACATGAGTAGACACAGAGGTATAGGCAAACAGGAGAAGGAGACTGATTTGCCACCGATCAAAGAGGATGTGTTTTGTTGTTCTCGTTGAGGGGCATGCGGCATGTTTGCCAAGCTTCACAAAGATGTTGATTGAATTGTTTTCATGTGTGTCCTCCTCCTAACCTACACTTGTGAGGCTCCTCTTGAGTCTATGGAGAATCCACCTGGGCGCCGTCGGCCGTCCTCACTGCACCGCCATTCCATCGCATCCCGCCTTTCTCAAGGGCCACAGTGCACCGCCTGTGGCGCCAGGATGGCGGAGCCGTCCAATGTCTTCAACGAGATGTGGAATGGCTGGGTGTCTCTGAGCGAGCGGCAGATGACCTTGGGCGCCCTGCGGAAGCGCCTCAAGGGTCTCCTGGAGGCGCCGAGCCCCTCGGGATGAGAGTGGCACAGGTGGGAGGAGTAGGGAGGAGTTGGGAGAAGTTGAGATCGGGAGGAGTTGTTGCACACATTTTGTGGAGCGGAAGGGGAGGGAAAGAAAAGAAGGACTAGCGAAGATCAGGAAAGGGAAAACACATATCAACTTACAAAAAGAAAAACTTTAAGAGTGAAACGACATGAACAATGAGATGTTATAAAAACATATAAAAACACGAAAGAGTCATTCAAATTCTCGGTGAGGGTTGAGGAGAAGAGGTGGAAATTGCAGGAGCGCCATCGAAATTGCGCCCAGCGCCTGAGGCTTGAGAAGGCCGCGAAACGAAGATTGGAATTTGGGTGTTCCTTGGAGCTGAATTTCAGCCCGGAAGTTCCCAGCCCAGGAGAAAAGACCGGTGTGTTGAAACCCATCCTTTGCTACTGCAACGGGTGTTTTTGTCACAGTTTGTTGTTGTTGTTGTTGTTGTTGGTGTAGTAGTAGGTGTAGTAGGTGTAGTAGGTGTAGTAGTAGTAGTAGTAGTAGTAGTAGTAGTAGTAGTAGTAGTAGTAGCAGTAGCAGTAGCAGTAGCAGTAGCAGTAGCAGTAGCAGTAGCAGTAGTTGTTGTTGTTGTGGCGGGATTGGCCTGAGATCTCAAGTCCGAAATGGCAGTGGTTCATGGCACCCAGAGCCCTGTGCACCCTGCTAGGTTGACCTCCTTAGTAGTCCATTCTGTTCACACGCAGACAATCCGGTCGAGTAGGAAAGTCGCATCCACGACTCACAGATCAGTGAATGCACAACGGAGCCAAATTAAGGTGAGCTACAGAAAACGTTCGACAGGGAACGACCAAGAATCAGCCGAGCGGCCGGCCCCACCGGCCAACACACGGCAGAATTTGAAAAGTTCGCCAGGGGCGAAAAAAGGGAGAGCACCAACAAGTGCACCCTGAGGCAACACTTTGCCAATGCATTTCGTTGCCCTGGCTGTTGGTGTCCCAGGAAGTGCATTGTGCGTCTTTGAGAGCACAACACAGCATCTACGCAACTTAAGGACAAGTTCTTGAAAGTGTGCTTCACGGCATCTAAAATGATGTCCTCGGATGACAAACAGAAAGGCCAATTCCTGATAAGTGCACATCACATGGTCAGCGAGAAACCACTTAAGCGTCTTTCCAAAATTGACAAAGACTTGCCAATCAGAAGCAGAGAGATCTAGCTTGGGAGGGCAGCTTGAATCCTCCGGCTTCCATGAAAAAGAAAAATCAGCTTCATTGTGGTTCCACGCAAGACCCGGGTAGATGGTGTGGAAGTCAATCTCCGAGACGGCACTTTGTCGCATGGGCGTGTCTGTAAATGTATCAGAACACTCAAAGCCAATAAAGCGGTTCAAGTCCGTAAGGGTGCGTTGCTTCTGAAGTATTGCTGCTTGAAACATACCCTTATCTTCAGCCGCAATAGTACACCGGGAGTGGGCAAACCTCTTGGCAACTGTATCTGCAAGCCGATTCAGTTCGATGTGCTTTCGTGTTGTGCCTGCTGCACGGATCACAACAGCAGGTATCGCTGAAACAGGTAGATCATCACCAATATGCGAAGGAATCCACGTCAAGAGCAAAACAGGTCCACTAGTCAGCAGACTCCTGGCAACTATGACTTTGTGCAACACCTTCCACCATTCAATGTGCAGGCAGTTCGTGGGAATATTGCCAGTTTGAACCATATGGTTAACTTGACAAACAACTTCCTTGCAGTCGCTGTAAATATGAAGTTTGCAGTCGGACTTCAAGGTAGCAACTATGACTGCCCACAATTCTGCAGTATAGGAAGAAAGGCACAGGTGAGAAACTGTTCCAGCATGAAACACCTTCCCCTCCTCGTCAATGATGGCATAACCTGCTGCCGTAAGTGGGAAGACCTCACCCCAAAGCACGGAGCCATCAGACCACAGGGATTGCAAATCATCAGGTCTTTGAAAGATCTGAACTGGGAGTGCATCAGCACGGTCAACATGGAGCCGATGTCGGATGATAGCAAGAGGGTGTTCCACAATGCCAAGTAGTCGAAAATTCGGCCCAAACTCATGACCCGGACCTGGAGGAAAGTGCAGCCTTGCTTGAGGACATTGCAAAATGTGCACAAGTGATTCTTTTTCAGTTTCACAAAAACGGCACAGCGGGGAATCCGAAAACTTGGCAGCAAATCTACGATCGTTGGTGATCGTACACCCAACAAGTTGTGCTTCAAAGTGAGCAAGCAACGGGGGTGAAACCGAATCGCGAACTCCTTTCTGGGTCCCAAAGAGCTTGGAGTGAAAAAGATCTACAAATCCATCCGGTTTGGCAAAATCCTTACGATTAAGGCTGGCTGAGTGAACATAGTGTGCCTGAACTGCAAGCTGTTTCAACAACGGCACAATGTCACGAACTGAAAGATCTTGTAAGTTAAGATCAAGGTGACCAAAGAGGTGCAAATGAAGCTGATCATCAATGGTGATACCAAATGCATGGCATGCCTGGCGAATGCCTACAAGGAGGGAGAACCTGCCCGAGTTAGGCTGGTGGGCATCTAGCTATAACGTCGGGATTGCGGTGGACAAAGCGCAGAAAATCAACAATGGCACAGAAGGCCCTAGCCAAGTATGGATCAACACGGTGTGGCGGTGCAAGAAAGCCAAGGACCAAGTGTTTAGCCCTCCAGTGAGGTCGATTGCCCCACAAGACTTGGGTGATTTCAGCTTGAATTTTGTCAAGGGCAGCTTTAGGGACCTTAGACAAGTGTGAGGCAAAGCTGCATTGAGGAATGACTTTAGCTCCAAGGAGTTGTGCCTTGATTTTGCGAGGTAACGGGAGGGCCCCAATGTTACGAATGTCAAGGACGATTTTATGGGTCTTCTCCTCAGGAAAGTCAAAAGCGATGCGCTGCGAAGTATAGATTTTAGAACCAAGCACATCAATAGTTTCCTGAAGCATAAAATCAGGGAAAGACAAACGAATGCATTTCCGACCCGTCGAATTCGAAGCCCAAGCAACCGATTTACCAGCATTGAGTTTTTGACCAACAAGGGCATCCCAAAGCTTGGTGACTTCAAGTGCCGTTTGAAGGTTGGCGACATGTTGGATTTTTGCCCACAAATAAATGTCATCAATGTAAATGCGACATGACAAATGGGGGATGTCCTTCAAGAAAGCAACCCACGAGAGCATGTAGGCATTAATAGCAATCAGCGAAAAGGAGCAACCCTGTGCAACCCCATTTGGTGAAGTGGTAGGAATGGAGGCCGTCCAACCTCTATAAGACAAGTGTTTGCGCAGCCCTGCATATTGGCGAACAAAAATGCTGACCACATGCTGAGGACAACCAATGGCAAGCAAAATGATGGCAACGAAAGCAGGGACAATACGATCAAAACACTTACTTTTATCAAGTTTAAGACCAGCAACCGTTTCACTTTGCATCTCAGCTTCATCAAGATCAAGTCTCAGGGTGGCGGGAATATCAGTCATATGCCGGCCCGCTATGCCACCCACAATAGAAGGCGGCATGATAGTTGCTTGCCACTCCTTGGCTTGACGAAAGCGAGCTCCCGTGTATGCTAGTAAAAGAGGCGGCAAGATAGTAATCAGCCGCTTGTTCAGGGGGGAGGATGGCCCTGGCTTATTGAGAATAACTAACTTGGCCTCAGTCAAGGCTCTTGGGAGCGAATGGTCAACCTGCTGTTCGAGGCGGCGAAAGAAGGCAGCAATCAAATCACACAGAGCAAGAGGGAATCGTTGCAGTTCAGTGGTCCGCCATCCATCAAGCCCAGGCGCTGCATTGGGGTGGCGCCTCTGAAGGGTCTCAAAGATATCGGCCCCTGTGAGGGCTGGCGGAGTCCATGGCTTATTCTCACGCGAGAGGTACGGCCAAAGGACCCGCAAGACTTCAACTGGGTCTTCGTGACCAATATTAGAAGCAAAAATGTCATCCCATTGATTGTTGATAGCATTGAGGGCTTTATCAGGCTGGTAAATGATATGCCCACAATCATCAAAAACAAGGTTGTTGGGTTGATCTTGCGCCTTATTCTTGAGGTGATGGAAAAGGTAGGCACGGTCAGAAGTGGCTGAGTGCTGAATTTTCTCCCGCCATGCACGGATTCCGGCTGACTTCAAATTGCTCTCTGTTTGTGCGATCTCAACTTGAAGCCAAAGGTGGCACTCATGCAAAGTCAACAAGTGAGGGCAGCGAGAGCCTCGAAAGTCAAAGGGGGGCTTTGAGGTTCCGCAAGAGTCTAGTCAACTTGGCAAGAGCATTATGCAGAATATCACACTCTTGATCTGAAAGCCTACTCTTGGCAACCTTAGCTTGGATGTCAAAAACCTTGGCACGAGCATTATAAAGCCAGGAAAGGCGCAGAGTAGTAGCCGATCCTGAATTTTGTTGCCCTGGGCAGTATTGCTTGGATCTAAAAACAGGAGCAACAGCGCGTTTGTGAATACCGGGTTTCCAAGTCGCACCAGACTCAAGAAGTGTAGTCACAGCAAATTGGTTGATGTCACACCAAAGCTCTTCCGGAGTGGAATTGATGAAGTTAGCTTCAAGGTTCGCATCCCAACACTGCAGGGAGGGCTGGTAATCTTTGGGGCAGGACGGTTTATCAACTTGGGAAATATCAAGTTGGGCGAACTTAACATGAACAGGCCCAACATGAAAAATGACATCCCAATGAAAGGTCGCACGAACCGGACGATGTTGCTTGGAGAACCAGTCGACCGTGCAAATGTCCGTCAGACAAGAGAACGCAACTTGGTTCAAAAGCATCCCATCGATAGAGGAACAATGCTCACCAAAGGCAGTGAAGGTGCAATCGCGACTATATGTAATCGGCCTATCGAGGGAACCGTCTTCAAGGTGGGTAGAAAGTGGATCAAACCAATTAGCAAAATGCGTGGCAGCAGCGACTGACGGATATTGGAGGGGTGGGAGCTGGAAATCGCCAACCACCAAAACCGGGATATTGCCAAATTGGGCTGCAACCTGGAAAACGTCACCAAGAAGACGATCATTGAAGTGCAGGATATCATGATCAGCAGAAGCACCAGACTTAGCGTAGATGTTAAAGATCAAGATCTTCAACGAGGGCTGAACTTGGTGCCAAACAGCTTGTACCCGCTTAGAATGAAAGAGGCCTTTGAAAAGCCCTGTAGTGTCCTGACTCTCCTCAAAAGGGGAGGAGATAGTACTAGGTGCAAGCATGGCAACACCACCATGGGAGGTAGAGCCGCTACCATCAGACCTAAACAAACCCGGAAGCAGGTCCCCAAGGATCAGGTTCTTACCAGCAGCACACGCCGACTTGGAGGCATTCCGAAAATTGTTGCG